TAAAATAATTAATTAATTACTCTTAAATGCGTCACGATGGCACAGTGGGTAGCACATCTACCTCACAGCAAGAAGGTCACTGGTTTGAGTTCCAGGCTGGGTCAGCTGGTGTTTCTGTGTGGAGTTTGCATGTTATCCCTGTGTTGACATGGGTTTCCTCCGGGTGCTCCGGTTTTCCCCACAGTCCAAACACATGTGCTATAGGGGACTTGATGCACTAAATTGGTCGTAGTGTATGAGTGTGAATGAGTGTGTATGGGTGTTTCCCAGTACTGGGTTACAGCCAAAAAAGCATCCGCTGTGTAAAACATATGCTGGATAAGTTGGCAGTTCATTCCGCTGTGGTGACGATTGATTACAAAAGGGACTAAGTCGAAAATAAAGCGAATTAACTAATTAATTACTCTTTAATTACCCTCTAAATGACCTCTCACAGTAATGTAAAAACAGAAATAATCAGAACAGTATTGGGTATAATTACTGTTTTTACATTACTGTGATGTTGGATTTAGAATTGGGGTAGGGGTAGGTGTTAATAAAATACAATTAACAGGTAATTTAATAAATAATATGAATAATATTAATGTCATGTAAAAACAGTAATTATACAGAGTATTATTCATATTATTTATTAAAATACCCATTAAATTGCATTTTATTATTGTCTACCTCTAAACCCAACCATGACAGTAATGTAAAAACAGCAATTATTCAGAATATTATTCATATTATTTATTAAATTACACATTGAATTGCATTTTATTAATGTCTACCCCAACAGTAATGTAAAAACAGTAATTATAATGAGAATTATTTACATTACACTACTCCAACCCTCACAGTAATGTAAAAACAGTATTTACACCCAATATTATCCTTTTTATTTTATAAAATTATGAATTAATTGTATTTTATTAACATCTACCCCAACCCTCACAGTTGTACATTATTGTTGTAAAGTGTCACAAAAATTCTGCAATCTTAATGAGTATTTGCAGCTGTATCCCATCTGGACTTTACCATGCTGAATTTTTTTTTAACAAATCTAGAATTAATCAAACATAAATATACCCCAAATAATGAATCAAATGAATACAAACTGAAATAAATACATAATTAGACAACAAAAGAAATACAAACAAATCAATCGCATTA